AAAGGCCCCATGTGGAGGTTGGATTGTTCTTTGAAGGGTTGGTGAAGTTTTGAAGGGCTGAATGGCCTCTTTCTGCACTAAGGGATGCTATAAAGAGTGAGCTGAATTTCCTCATTTAGTTTTGAAATGGGAGGCAACCTCATTCCTACATCTGGAACCCAGAGGGTGAGACCAGGGAACCTGGTTCCATCTTCCAAAGCTGGCCAGTGACAAGCTCACCTCTGGGATCACCGTCCACTTCGACAAGGGGATGGTTTGAGGCACCTCACTGGGTGCCATGTAGCCGCAGTCAGGGAGGTCCTCCCGAGATAGAATATAAGCAGCTACATCGAAATGGAAGAGAGAGACCGGGAGGGATGGAGCCACAATTCACAACTGCCTCCCTGGATGTTATATTGGAAATAGCAAGGGGAAAGGAGGAACATCCTGTTTCCACAGATTGAGAAGGTAAAACTAAAACATGCTTAAAAGTACACAGGAGGTCAGCATATGAACTATAGCCATAGCGTTTGGTAACATTGCCATTTTGATGGATTTGGGAAGTGTAAATTTTGCCTATATACTTCTCAAATTTATTCTTTCATGGGTTGTGGTTGTCACTGGCTAGGCTAGCATTTATTGCCCATACCTAACAGTCAACCACATTGTTGTGGGTCTGGAGTCACACATAGGCCAGCCCAGGTAAGGATGGCAGTTTCCTTCCCCAAAGGACATTAGCGAACAAGATGAGTTTCCCCAAGAGTGGCTGAATGCTCATTAGATGAGATTAATTGAGTTGAAATTCCACTAGTTCCATGGCAAGATTTGAACCCAGGTCCCCAGGGCATTACCTGGGTCTCTGAATTACTAGCCCAGTGGCAATACACTAGACCATCACCTCATCCTTGTGTCATTTTACAGATGATAGAACAGTGACCCCCAAACTATGGGTTCTGGTATCAAGACCCAGACAAGATCCAGCCCTGTTGTTGTGCTGCTCATTTCTCAGTCTCTTCCTCCCTTCCCCTTCTCCTTCCATCCCTCCCTCACTCATCAATTTCTTACTCCCTTCCCCCTTCTCTTTCCCTCCCTCCGTCTCCCTCCCTCACTGACTCTGTCAGTCCCTCCATCCCTCTCCTTTTCCCACCAGGCCATGGATTCCCACCCAGGGGTGTTGCACTGAGTCTCCAAGTCCAGTTGCAGGCACCAATAAAATGACAAACTCTGAGCTGATGAGCAGCAGCCTGGGTCCAGGCCGAACAGCCCGTCGCTGTGAAACAACTCAGGAACCTTCAGCCTGAACTTGCACAGCCTCCTTAAGCAGCTCAGCCAAAGTCATGGAGTGGAGAGTACATCAAATAATAATATTTTTAATGAAGTATTTCAATTCACAGATTTTCACACATATACTGTGTATTATATGTTGATCTATTTCAGACAAATATCAAGAACCATACATTGGATATGATACTTTATTCATCTTTTCTTTTTGCTGCAGTCTTGGGTTGTGTTAATTTTTAAACTGTAAACATGCAGTCACTTTGGAAAATAGTTTGTGATGCATTGTACTAGAGCCTTCTTCTATTTTTCAGCTGTCACTCATTCTTTCTGCACCATTCAGGGGTGTTTGTATGTGAGTGTGTGTGTGTGCGCGTGTGCGTGTGTGTGTGTGTGTGTGTGTGTGGAAGACAGTGCATGTGTGTGTGTGGGAGAAAATGCATGCGTGTATGTATGTGGGAAAGAAGGTGTTTTGTGCATGCATGTGTGCATGTGTGTGTATGTGAGAGAAAGAGCGTGTACATGCATGTGTATATGTGTGGGAGAGAGTGTGTGTGTGTGGGAAAGAGTGTGTCTGTGTATGTGTGTGTGTGTGTGTGAGAGAGGGGGAGAGAGTGTGCGTTTGTGTGTGTGTGTGTGTGTGTGTGTATGTGTGTGTGTGTGTGGTGTGTATGTGTGTGTGTGTTTGTGTGTGTGGGAAAGAGTGTGTGTGTGCATGCGTGTGCGCGTGTGCATGTGTGTGTGTGTGGGGAAGAGTATGTGTGTGTGCATGCGTGTGTGTGTGTGTGTGTGTGTGTGTGCGCATGTGTGTATGTGTGTGTATGGAAGAGAGTGTATGTGTGCATGCATGTGTGTGTGGGAAAGAGTGTGTATGTGCATGCATGTGTGTGTGTGGGAGAGAGTGTGTTTACGCATGCGTGTGTGTGTGGAAGAGAATATATGTAAAAATGCAGTCATTTTGGAAAATAGTTTGCGATGCATTGTACTAGAGCCCTCTTCTATTTTTCAGCTGTCACTCATTCTTTCTGCACCATTCAGGGGTGTTTGTGTGTGAGTGTGTGTGTGTGTGTGTGTGTGTGTGTATACGTGTGTCTGTGTGTATATGAGAATGAGTGCATGTGAGTGCACATCTGTGCAGATGTGTGTGTGTGAATGAGCGAGCGTATGTGTGCGCATGCGTGTGTGTGAGGGAGAGTATGTGTGCGCATGTGTGTGTCTGTTGTGTGTCTGAATCTGTGTGTTTGAGTCTGTGTGTGTGTTTGTGTGTTTGAGCAAGAGAGAGAGAGTGTGAGTGTGTGTGAGAGTGCTTGTGGAAGCTGATGAAGATCCCCCTCCACATAGCACACGACTTCAGTATATCCACTGGAACATTACAGATTATCATCCTCGATGAATTGACAGAATTGTCTTTAGGTAGCTTCAACGGTTTCTCTCCCAGTAACAATTTTAATAGCAGCAATCTCATTGAGCTGTTCCTTCAATGTTAGGCCGTTTCCTTGCCAATTTACAGAACTCTGAGAACCTGTAAATTTTAGGCCTCAATGTCTCCCTGCTGTGTTAGCATCTCCTGCACATTGACAACCTCTAGACCTGTGTTCCCCTGTGTTTCTGGCCTTGTGAAACCGGATTCCAGGTCACCAGATAGCTGTGTGCAGGCTGACAGACCGTACGTTCAGAAAACAGCGAAATACAGGTGAAGGAATCACTAAGAATTCATTCCTCCAATCACAGGCAGTTTCTCTTGTGAGCCTATCAGCAACAGTTGTGCGAGAGAAACATTCTGTGATTGGAGGTGGAATTAATAGTACCAAGGTGAGTGACTTAATTCAGGTCATGGGCAGACCTAGCAGTGAGGATGAGAATGGCTAGTCAGGGCCTCTGTGTTTTTGGCCTCTATGGAAAACCCACTACAGTTCCTCAATCTACATGAAATTTTATAGAATCTTTAGAGTGCAGACAGAGACTGTTCGGCCCATCATGTCTGCACCAACCCTCCAAAGGCTGTCCCACACAATTCACGTAACCCTGCATTTCCCATGGCCAATCCATCTAACCTGCACATCTCTGGATACAATGGACAGTTTAGCATGGCCAATCTGCCCTAACCTGCAAATCTTTGGACTGTGGGAATGCTAACCACTGAGCCATCTGAAAAGCAGTTTAAGTGTACACCACTTGGTTGGCTTGCGGTGAACATAAGGTTGGTGCACAACTCCCTAGCTCAACCCTGAACTAACTCTACAGAGGCCGGTACCCCATCATCAAGTCACCCTTTATTTACACGTGGAGAGACCTTGACACTGATCCAGCTCCCACAGAGCCAGCTCTCACACTGAACAGGACACTCCTGTTTATACCTGTCAGCCAGAACTCCCTGATTGGACCAGATTAACAGCCCCAATCAGGGAACTCATATTCTATGACGTCCACCTGGCTGGCATCGTTACAATCACTACAGACCCTGGTCCCCTGCCCATTTCTCAGTGACCAGGATTTGGTGCCGAACCGTCTCTCTCTCTCTCCCTGTCTCCCTCTCTCTCTAGTTCTGCTTAAGTGAAAAGGCAAAAAAAAGAAAGGTTTTATTAAATGGCTTGGCATCTTTTAATTGTCATGTTTATTAATTATTAATTTTTAAAATGATCAATAGTTGCTTTGACGCTATTTGTTAGAAAGTGGTTATGGTTTCTTCATACCTAAGTGCCATGTTTAATGATGGACTGAGCACAACATCTCCAATTTTGAAAAAAGTATTTTTATATTCATTCATCTGTTCTTTGTGTGAGAAAAACTGTGGCCCCCACACATGACCAAGTTGTCTAATTCTGGTGTAGACACTGCATGGGGTAAGATCCCATTGTTCTATGAAAATTGGTGTGAACTGTTTCCAAAACAATTGGATTCCCAGTGCTACTAGGGGTTGCTGACAGCTCAGTCAGATCACCCCTGGGGAAGGTGGTTGGAAACAGGAACACACTGATGAAAGAGCTGAAGCATTTTCGTCATATTTTTCTGCCTCAGCCTCCAATTCTGCCTGTCCTGTAAAATATTACCCAATATGCTAGATATATATTCTAACTAACGTTGAATTCACAACAGTAATGATTATTCTTCCAACTGGTAACAGTTTTAAAAAAAGCACTCTTTATTGTAACACCTTACATGCAGAAAAGCAAAATAATTTTCTTATTATTCAAATATTATGGGCAGGTTAGTCACAATTGCCAACCAATAAGCACTGAGTTTGTGTTCTAGAAAATAACAATGCTAATTACTTGACACAAACAAGGGTTTCTGTGAACAGTGTATCTCAAGCAATTAGACAATATCTGATAGACAATTGCTGCTGGGCAATTCTCCGTAGAAATTGGTCGCTGAGGCCACCGTGTTTCCTCATTTCACATTCTAAAGCATCTTTTGTTATCTTTGTTCAGGTGGTAAAAATTAAAACTGGAGTGTAGGGCCACTTTTTGCAGTACAGACTGAGATAACTGAGAACAAACAGCAGGTCCCCAGCTAACAGCAGAGGCAGGACAAGAGATACTGCTTTAGACCTCAGGCAGTGGCACTAGATTTCTAGTGAAAACAAACAAGAACAAGGAGCAAACAAATTAACCTGACATCTCACTGAAGGAATGTGCTGGCATGGTGAGGTGTGATTTTATTATCCACTTACAAATTAATGCAATCTAGGAGATGTCCAGCTGCTCCCGTACGCATTACTTGTTTTAAAAGCTCATGCTTACCTTTGAGAGTCCTCCAACTTCCAAATAGAAACAGAAAATGAATACATTCCAGGCCACCCATAAGGCTGTCCAAATAGCATACTACGTGCAGAAAGAAGACAGAAGGAAAGAAGTTAAATTACTAAAAAGACATACAAGAAAGAAACACATACAAGAAAATATATTTAGCTTCTTGCCCTCGCCTACTCTACAATCATGTTGGCATCAACAAACTGAAGTCAAAAATACAGATGCTGCAAGCATAAACCAAGGTTTAGACTTTGCCAAGAATGGACACACCAGAGTCCTGGTTTATTTCGATTAAACTAGGAACTGCGAATGCTGAAAATCTGAAACACAAACAGAAACTGCTGGAGAAACTCAGCAGGTCTGGCAGCATCTGTGAGAGAGAAACAGAGTTAACATTTCAAATCCAGTGACTCCAGACTGTGCTGAGTTACTGCAGCAATTTCTCTCCTGATTTATTTATACTGTGAAACTGTGTGAAATGTTATTGTCACCATTAATACCCAGGGAGGGAGTAAAAGAATCATGCTTAGAAGCAGGAATTTTAGTGACATGTTTCTACTTACAGCTGTCACCTATCCTCGGAATTGAATAGCAGAGCCCATTTTAATGTGACTATCATGTTCATATTCAAGACTGTCTCGTTGGAAAGTTAGCCTGTTCAAGATGTCCAATGCAAACTACCATGTACTATAAGTATCAGGCAATAAGATTTAACAATTGCTAGATATCCTGAGGTAACTTGTCCAAATGGTTATTTTTACACATGAAACTAGGCGTGTTATCCTTTTTATTATACATGATTGACACTTAACTCCTAAATCTGTGGATTAGAATCATGTTAGAGTTCAAAATCAAAAACAGGATCCCAGCCTGCTTCAAACCCACCCCTTACTGGGTTCAGTGTGTGAGGTTCAGCAACTTGGTTGTTTCAACATCAAAATGGAGATTCCATTTTCAACCACCGTTGGGTTCCCCTGGTCTCAGGAAACTGGTCAGCTCAAAGGGAAGTGAGCTGGGTCGAAGTGATGGAGAAAGTGCTGTTACAGATCTTCTAATGTGCCAGGAGTATCAGGAATGTGCCGCTCTGTCCCAAAAAGCTATTCAGTAAAACCTTCAACCGCCTACAGCCTTACCATTTGTCAGCTCCCCTTGCTCATCCCACTATCACTTGCTTCCCCCCACCAATCACAACTGTACCTCACTTGTGGCATTCTTCAGCCAGCTGTAGACTTTCTGATCAACATCCAAAACTGTACCCCAGCCTGATACCATCCAGCTATTATCAGCCGCCAAATGCCCAGCACTGGACACATCATCTTCCAGTCCTTCCAGCTGACCACTAACTCAGTCCCACCTCAAATACCATCAAGGCAATACCTGCAGTCAAGATCTCTGAACCAACATTCAAGCTACCTCCTGCTTATGGGTCAGAAAGAAGCTCTAAGGGTCAAGCAGCACACACTGTGAAATCATGTGGAGTGGAGGGAAGAGTAACTAAGGATCTGGAAGGAGTCAAGTATAGGAGCAAGTCCTCCTAACAGTCTCTGTAATAATGTCCACCACATCCTTATGACATGTAAATCATTGCAGGGATTCAATAGAGACCATGTCTCAGTTACTCCTCGATTTTTCCAGTTAGAACAGATGGTGGTGATCTTCACCCATACTGAATCACATGGGCACTGGGAAAAAAATATAACTTGAAGGTAGCACATACACCATACTCTGGAAAAACCACCAACTTTAACATTCACCCCTCTACCAGTGACACCCAGTAGCAGCAGTGTGTAACATTTATGAGATGTATTAGAATAACTCATCAAGGTTCTTTTGACAATACCTTCCAAACCCACCCAGAAGGACAAAGTGTAATAGGCTTATCCCATCTCTTGCAAGTTCCCTCCAAGCCACACACCAGATATGACCTCCATAAAGGCCATTAGAGATGCCAAGGGGCAATACCGGACTAAGCTAGAGACCCAAACTAACCACATGGACACCCGCCATCTGTGTCAAGGCCTACATGACATAATGGGCTACAAAGTGAAGCAGAACAGAGTAGCAAACAAAACTACATCCATCACTGATGAACTAAATGCATTTTACACTCAGTTTGAACAGAACATCAGTGAAATGAAGCCACCTACCCTGACAGCCTTGGATACTGGACCGCTGCAGACATCAGCTCTGCTTTTTTGAGAGTGAACAAAACAACTGGCCAATATGGAGTCGCTGACTGTGTGCTCAGTTCCTGGGCAGACTGTGCACTCAGCTCCTGTGCAGACCAGATGGAGTCCCTGACTGTGCACTCAGTTCCTGGGCAGACCAGATGGAGTCCCTGACTGTGCACTCAGTTCCTGGGCAAACCAGATGGAGTCCCTGACTGTGCACTCAGTTCCTGGGCAGACCAGATGACAGGAGTATTCGCTAACATCTTTAACCTCTCCTTACTACGATCTGAGGTCCCCACCGGCTTCAAGAAGACCACCATCATCCCAGTACCAAAGGAAACACATGCGATTTGTCTCAATGACTACCACTCAGTGGCTCTGACCTCCATCATTATGAAGTGCTTTGAGAGGTTAGTCATGGCTCACATCAACTCTGGCCACCCAGTCTGCCTGATCCCTTGCAATCTGCCTACTGTCACAACACATCCGCGGGATAACAAGGATATCTATGTCAGGCTCCAAACCATTGACTGCAGCTCCACCTTCGTCACTATAATTCCAAACAAACTGATCTCTAAACTCCAAGACATAGATCTTTCCTCTGCAACTGGATCCTCAACTTCCTGATCCGCAGACCACAATCAGTAAGGATAGGTGACAACACCTTCTCCATGATAATCCTCAACACTGGCGCCCTGCAAGGCTGTGTACTCAGCCCCTTGCTGTACTCCCTATACACTCATGATTGTGTCGCCAAATTTCATCCTAATTCCATCTACAAGTTTGCTGACAACACCATCATTGTAGGCCAGATTTCAAACAATGATGAGACAGAACACAAGAAAGAGATAGAGTGTTTGGTGGCCCAGAGTAAAGATACCAATCTCTCTCTCAATGTCAGCAAAATGAAGGAGCTGGTCATTGACTTCAGGAAGTGGAGTGGAGGGCATGCCCCAATGGTGCTGAGGTGGAGATGCTTGAAAGCGTCAAGTTCCTGGGAGTGATGATCACCAACAATCTGTCCTGGACCACCCACGTTGATGCAGTGGCCAAGAAAACACCTCTACTTCCTCAGGAGGCTAAGGAAATTTGGCATGTGCACAAAGACTCTTACCAATTTATACAGATGTACCATAGAGAGCATTCTATCAGGATGCATTACAGCTTGGTATGGTAACTGCTCTGCCAAGGACCATAAGAAAATGCAGAGTGGTGAACACAGCCCAGTCCATCACACAAGCCAACCTTCCATCTATTGACTCCATCTATACTTCTCGCTGCCTCAGCAAGGCAGCCAACATAATCAAAGACTCCTTCTAACCCGGTTATAACCTCTTCCAACCTCTTCCATCAGGTGGAAGAACAAAAGCTTAAACACACATACCAACAGGTTCACGAACAGCTTCTTACCCCCTGTTATTAGACTCCTGAATGGGCCTCTCGAATTTCAAACCTAATGTTGATCTCACTTTTTGTGCGCCTTCTCTGCAGCCACAACATTGTATTTGTCGCTCTGTTCTATCACCCTAATGAACTTTGTATGGTATGATCTGCATGCAAAACAAAACTTTTCACTGTACATAGGGACATGAGCCAATAATAAAACAAATCAAAAAACCCATCCTATCTTGGAACTGTTCCTTCAGTGTTGCCAAGTTAAAATCTTGGAACTCACTTCGAAACACTAGTGCCTTGGGGTAGTCAGGAATGCTGGCCATATCTGCAAAGCATACATCCCATTAACTAATGAAAGTGCCTTTGAACTGTTTACATCTCCTTTCATTCACTACAGCCTTTAGCAAACATTAATTGTGATTCTCACGAAAATGATAAAGTGTATGATCAGTTTATACTCAATCTTGGCTACCAATATCCTACTTTCTCTGTCCAACTCCTGACTGGTTTCTTTAAAAGTAATCATTTTTGTGACAGCACTTCCTTTTTCTCCTTATTTGTCCTTTAATCAACACTTCTTTTGTGCAAATCCACTTACAGTTAATTAAATATTAACACGACTTTGAGGTTTATGAGACATTACCTCACATCCTGTATGGGAAAAACTGGAGGGTCAAGTCTTCTGCCTCAGATCAATTTTATGTGAGAGTCACCTTCCACTAATTCAAGCTCAGAAGTTAAACACTTTTTTTTTCTTCACAAACACTTTGGAAAAATGATCTGTTTTTCTGACGTCCTGATATCTGCTTGCCGACAGAATTAGTATCACAGTGAAGATTTTTGTCCCACACAGCATTGCTGCAAAAGCTATGTCAGGTATTTATTCACTGAGAAGGAACAGGAGTGGACAGGCCAGGTGCACAAGGCATAGGTGCCACGTGCCTCACTGAACTAACTACCTGGAGCAGATGATTGGCTGCCACCGAGCGGGAGAAGCACTGCATGATGATGAAGCTCAAGATCACTGGGGAGGCTGTTATCTTTCTGTGGCACCTGGTCCACAGAACCTACAGTGACAGCCGGTCACACGCACCACAGTGCTAGAGGCACTGAAGGTTACCACAACCCTCAACGTTTACACCAAGGAGGCTTTCCAAAGGAGATCTCAGCAATCATTGGTCTTCTGCTCATTGTTCACTGAACAAGTCCCATTTAGTCATGCTCCCAGTTTAACATCCTACACCAGCAGCAATCTCCAAATTGCACATTCCTCCAAGGTTAAGTGTTGGTAACTTATTTGCATAAATAGTGAAATTATTTTCTAATAAACGTGTCAATAATATGTGATTCCATAAACAAAAGTCAGTGTTTGTTAATGCATGGCTCAGGAGCAGAGAGCAATGTGTAAAGCAATTAGAACCTGCAAGGGTTAATTGACATCAGAAGATAAGCTTCGACCATCAAAGTTTATAAAGGACTGTGGCTGTTGTTTAATTGTCCACCCCC